AAGAACTATTTCAACTCACTAATTCCATGTGCACCATTACCAATAAGAAGAATATCAACACCATAAACTGCTAGGATGATTTTTCCCAGATGAAGAACCCTTGCTAAATACGAAGTGGTTAACACTAATTGTTACAAACCAAAATCTTGCACCACATTGCTAAAGCAACCAAACCATGCTCATGGTGACTACTTTAGCTCATAGATAGCCTAACTTAACTAACTGACTCCCCTTGAGCAACATACCTAGGAAGTTGTTCCATATACACCTCTTGAAGATCATCATGGAGGAAGGCATTTTTGACATCAAGCTAAAGCAAGGGCCAATCAAAATGGGTGGATAAGGAGATGAATACATATACAAAGCCTATCTTAGCCATTGATGAGGTCTCTGAATAATACACACCATAAGCTTGTGTATATCCCTTAGCAATAATTTAGGCTTTGAACCGTTCAATACTTCCATCTTGATGATGTTTAACTATATAGACCCATTAACAATTAATTGCCTACTTCCTAGGAGGTAGGGAAGTAAGACCCGAAGTATTGTTGGATTGAAGAGCATAAAGTTCTTCACCCATTGCCTTCTTCTAATCAAGAGATGAGAGGGATTCTTGTATAGAACACGATAGAGAAATGAAGGATAAAAGGGAGATGAACTATTGATGGAAAGGAGATAAGTGAGGAAAAGAGACATAATGAGAAAGAGGATGATTTGTTCAAGCATGCTTACCCTTATGAAGAGCAATAGGAAGATCAAGATCTAAAGGTAGTGGATTCGTCAATGGCAAAGACTCTAGTGGTGGGTTAAAAGCTAGAGTTGGATCAACTACTGGTGATGATTTTGGCTACAGATCACGTTTGGAGTACACTCTATGAATAGATGGTTGGATAAGCTCCTCGACTATAGGTAAGGTGATAAATACATCACCAGAGTCAAAAGAAAGAGGAATAGAATTGGATGGTTCACACCTAGAAAAATGAAGTATGCTCTCAACAAAAGTAACATTTGGAGCAACAAAAACTTTCTGTTAAATAGGATCATAGCACTTGTGTCTTTTTTGAGTATGTAATAACCAAGGAAAACACATCTGATAGCTTTGGAGTCAAGTATATCATGGCTTGAACCCAGTTTGTGAACAAAATGCACACAACTGAACACACAAGGAGGAAGGGAGAAAAAAGAAGTAGAAGGAAACAAGATAAAAAATGGAGACCATGGTTTCAAATGTCGTGAAATGTCACCCGACATATGTCAATGTCGAGGCTCACTAACATGAAAATGGATGGTAATATAAAAATTAAATTATTTCGGTCAACATTTCCTATATTTCGGAAATGTCGACCAAATCGGTCCAAATAACAAAAAAGACGGTTTTTCCTATTATGTCGACAGGATGTCGACTAATGTACATTAATAATATAATATATTAGTATATTATATTATTATAATACAGTATATTAATATAAATTATTCCATTAATAATTTCTATTTAATATTTCAAATAAAATATTTATAAAAAAGAATTAACAAAAT